ATTGGCCTTAGATTGATCCACACAAAATTCATTCTTCACCAAATCTCTCACTTGGTTAAAACAAAATTTTCCCGAAATAATTGCTTGAAAACAAATACATTCAAAACTCAATTTTGAAAACCATGATGCAGATAATTTCATCCAATATACCAATACACATAATTATGTCAAACTCAATTCCCAGATTAAGTCATTATGGGGTACTCCCCTCCTTAGGAGTGTTTAACCTCCCATAGGGTATAGTACGCCATAACAGCAAAAAGAGGGAACCGGGCTCTGATACCAAACTGTAACACCCTACCCTGTACGTATTACCTAATCATATTGTTCATACAATTGCAGCAGAATTAATCTCGGGTGTTACATTAATTATCAAAATTTACCTAAATAAAATTTTGACATGAATTACTCGCGTAATGGGCTAACATTTCTTGCAACTTATCCTGCAAAATAATTCTTCTGAATCCATGCATTCAATGACAAACATATATACTAACAACCATATACATGGACTTTCATAGCCATAGTCACAGATTCATACTACACAACTGCATACCAAACTTATACATACAATAATCGTCACAACTTACACAGTTACACAACATATACACATATCATCAATTTTCCACACCTGTGGATATCTCACACTACATCAGAAGCTAGTATGCACATGAAAAACGTTCTCAAAACATTTTTACAAAAAGGTGTGGATCACTGGCCAAAATCCCGAGTAGTAGTCCAAACACAGAATGGTTGAAGACCATACCTCATCTTGCCTTCAACTCTTGCTCAACTCCCACCTATACACCTATCCACTGCTGCTGATGATCTGCTTACACATAGCATAAGCAGAGAAGAAGAATAAAAGAGGGTCAGCTCATAGCTGAGTGAGATAATCATAGCTTCGTGAGTTCATAACATAGCATACCACTACCATACATCTAGCAAACAAGCCAAAGCACTAGGATCAGATCTCAGCCATCCTCATGTCCCAATACGCAAAAGACTCAACCACCTTGACTTATGCATATGCATCTTATCATGTTTTAATCATAGGCGCCTGGCTACTCCCATGCTGCGTTTGTATATCGTATTGTGATTAAATACCACGTTTCAAAGATGCTCAAATGTTCAAACGACCTAGTGGAGATACAAAATGTAGAAACCCATATTATTGGATGCACTGTTGAAATATGTGGATTTCATAATATATAATTTTCACATCAGATTCAGACGATAAAAACACGAATTTTCATAATCAAGTATTATTAGAGAACAGAAACAATCCCTTAGATTCCACAGATCTGTGCAGAGGAAAAGAGATAAGGGAGTCTCAAGAGATTATATACACGACATGAGTATGCAATACAAAGAGTGAAGATAATACAACACCGATTGCTTTTCACACAAACATAGAGTAATGGCTATTAAAGAGAAGCTAATGAGGAGATGATGAGTATGATTGTGAATACAAGGGCGATGAGTATGGAGCCCACAATCCACTTGTTTCTGGATAATGTTCGTGACATGGGGATGTTAAGACCTTCTTGCTCTTGTAAATGGCATCATCTACTCCATGTAACTAGGGGTCGTAATCGGTAAACTGGTATTCGGTATTACCGGATATCGTACTGGATACCAGCGGTATCTGGTATACAAAATACCGACGGTATCAGTATTCGAAGTTATGATTTGACATAACGGTATACCGGATAATATTCGGTAATATTACCGACGCTAATCCGGTATACCGGAATATCGAAATAGCATATATGAAATAAGGACAAAGGATGCTCTTACTTCTGCTTCCAGAACCTCAACCCGTGAAACTTGGAACATATCACATTCCTGGACAGTGAAAGCTTCTTCAATCTGCGGAGGTAGAGATCCTCCAAGGACACTTTCAATGGATGAACAACATCCTCACCCCTTCTCTGCCTCCTTCCCCTACTGCTGCCACCTACCGAATACAAACACACAGAGACCCTTAGAGGTAGATCGACTTCCATTCCATGACAACAACGACCACTGGGTTTCTCCACCTGACCAGATCTATGATCTATCCATCTAAAACACAACAACGACCAAATAATATGACGGGCCACTAGTCAAAGAGTTGGTTGGTCATTTACTGCTTCTTTGGAAAAAGTACAGGCTAACTCTGCTCTGTCCATGATGGACTACGTAGTTGAAACTGATACCTCAAACCCAAAACTTCTTACATTCTAATCAACACTACAAGCAAGCAACGTGCGAGGAAGGTGTCATGTCACATCTCTTCTCTGCATGCCAAACCATGCACAAATCAAAAGAATAAAAAAGGACCAGACCTCGCATGCAATGAGAATGCATCATCACCATCTATAACTTCACAAGGTGTAGAGAGAGAGCATACAAGCTATACATATTCCATCTTTTGACAATTCTCTACATATTAAAATATATTACAATCCGAAAGATTTATTTTCAGCAAATTTAGAACCCACAATTCAATGACTGCAAAATTTTAACAGATAGGTATACCGGATAACTTTCGATATCGGTATTCGGTGATAGAATTTTAATTGTCGGTATACCGACCAATTACTACCCCTACATGCAACTGTCAGAACAAGAAAATAAACAAGGTCAAGAAGATTGTTGGCCATCCCTCAATTGCAAGAAGCATATGGCTCACAGCATAAGGAATTACATTTAGGCAACTCAGAAGTGATCGTGATTGATGTCTACTCATTAGTTACTAAGGACATGAAGACAATTATCAAACTTACTTTCCTGTTCCTCAACGCATGTATTAATCTTATCATTGAATTCTACGTTTGGTCCAACCAAATAATTAGGAGCCTAGGTGAAGAAGTTGCCAATATAAGCAAATAGTAGCTGTGAAAGAGTGTTATAATTTGAAGAATTGTAACTTTTTTTTGAAGGGTTGAAGAATTGTAACTTGAATTACAAAAATAACACTAAGAGAGTTTGAAGCCAAAGTCAGATTTTAAAGACAGAACTTAAAAGTTTGAGTGTACTGTGATCGAGATATTGGATCAATTGAAACACCAAGTCAACAGGTAGCAACCAGTAGACCAAAGCAGAGTTTGTGTTTTAAAGTCAAATTAGTACAATACATGCATTTAGAAACTATAATGCTCGCAGAAGCGTTGGGCAAGGATGTCCAAAACACCAAATAGGGTTTACTTAGACAACCAATTCCTTATGAGCCGAGAAGTGGACATAAACTAAATATAGCAGTTCCCTTATTCTTCCATATCGAAATGTTAATGATCAAATTCTGCTCTTCCCTACATTATCTATGTTAACAACTTGTTATGATGCAAAATTTTGACAACCTAAATATATAAGTCTTACTATAAGGACTACGAAATGTCCTCAGTCCCAGAAAAGAACAAAAAGAGAGCAAGAGAATCATAGCTTGTTATGCACATGCAGCAAGGTCTGTCGTTGTTGGTGCAAATCTTCAAGAATTGCGACACCATGTTCTTCAGTCTCCAGCACAGTCCTTCTATTGTCCCTAATTCTATCACTTGACTGATTTAGTCTGTCTATTGACATAGTCAATCTTTATGTTTGATCTCCAAACACCTACAACACCATTAAACCAAGCTAATGAACAGAACCTAGCTATCAAAATGACACACATATAATCATTGAGTTCATCACTAGAGTGTTCAAGCATCCCATATCAAACAAGCCAAACATCAACCCTCATTCTAATGAAGCCAATTGTGCGGCCAAAAATGGTTACACCATAGAATGACAACACAAGAAACAATGAGAGCCCAATTTGCTTTCTAATTTTACCTAACAAGCAAGAAAGCCCATTACCGCATTAGGGTTGTCCAATCCAAATTCCAACAAATTCTCGTGCGCAACTTGATTAGCATTTCCCGACACAATCCGCTTGAATTCCCTCTTAAACTTAGTCAAATTGGACTTGTACTCCCTCAGCTTAGCCAGAAGCATTGCCTTGTCACTTGGCTGCAAACTTCTCGCTTCAAGGTCCATCTTCCGTACCTGATCAAACCACAAGAATTCGAAATCATATCCACCAAAACCAGAAAGAAAACATTTCTATTTATACCAAGGTTGTCAAACTGGTTTAGCAAGGGGATTGAGGTTTAATGGTCGGATCGGGGTTCAACCGGATTAAGCCGGTTTTGACATAATAATAGGGAGTAGTTTAAGCAAATCAGGCGACGACGATGGCGAGAAGAAATCTCGATGTAATGACCCTTAGAAGCAATTTCGATGTATGGCCCTTTAGTTACAGGATGATTGTGTAAATTGCGATGTATGACCCTTTAGTTAGAGGACGATTGTATAAATTGCTCTTGTGTTTAAAAGGGGAAACCAAGACCACATAAGTGATGTTAATGAATGATGAATAAGAATCCTAGTTTCCACTTTCCAGTAGCTCTGTTTCTCTTTTCTTCCTTCTTGCCTTTTCTAATTTCCTTTTCTTGCTTTACTGGAGTTATTTCTGGCCCAGGCAATTTCACTCGACCGCTTATTCTCCAACTTCCCCTCCTCTCCATCCCTACCGTACGCCACACCAAATCCGATCAAGCGGTTAGCTCCCAAGGAAATTTTGTGAGCTCGACAGCGACGACTCAGCAATCCAAGCCGCAGGAGGAAGAGCCTGTTGATTGATAATTTGCAATCAAGTCTCTCTCAAGCACCTCACATGGTATGTCTAAGTTCATTGATGGATCAATTATCAAATGAAGCCTTAAAGGTTGAAATGAAGAGAAGACACAACCACCAAATAATTAAGTTAATTATCAATCAACTTTCATAGCAGATGGACAAGACAAGAGACATGGCTAGTGTGCTCAAATGAATGCATGGGCCAAAGTTCATTATTGGTGGTTAATGGTGAGGGTGGTGTGTTGTCTCTACATGGCAAATGAAAGAAGAAGCCATGTGATGAATTAATATTATGTTTTTCCATTTCCAATTATATATATGTTGTATGGGATGGAAGTTGTCAAGCAATTGAAAAAAAAAAGAGTGGGCAAAAAAGAGTTGCCGTGTATGTGTTCTCTACAATTTGAGAGTTCACAATTATATTCAAAGTATAAGGCTTATGTGAGTGCTTCCTAAATTGAGTGATTAAACACCATATGTTTCCTTTGTATTGATCCTAAATCATACCACATTTCCGCTAATCCCCAACAAATTTGGTATCAGAGCTTATACCCTTCTTTCCTCTCAAAAATCCCCAAATTTCTAGCCTACACAACTTTCTCAAAAATCCATGGCAACAACTTCCTCAAACACCATGTTTGCTACCTCTTCTAATCAAATTCCCATTTTCGATGGAAAATTGTACGAGTACTGGAGTGCCCAAATGGAGCCAATTTTCATCTCTCAAGATCTGTGGGATATAGTCCAAGATGGTTATGAAAGTCCCCAGGAAGATGATGAAGACTCGAAGAAATGATCAGGCAAGCAGACAAAGGAGTACAAGGAGAATGCTAAGCAAAATGCCAGCGCCTTGAGAATCATTCAGCAAGCAGTGAGCAAATCAATTTACCCGAGAATCTATGGCATCAAAAAGGCCAAAGAAGCTTGGGATGTCTTGCGTGAACAATTTCAAGGCTCTGAAAAGGCAATCTCTATCAGGCGCCAAAGTTTATGGCGACAGTTCGACAACTTGATGATGAAGGAAACCGACACCATCAAAGACTTCCATTCGCGTGTGGCGGAGACAGTCAACCAAATCAAAGCCACCGGTGATGTCATGGAAGAAAGAAAAATTGTGGAGAGAATTCTCCGTAGTTTATCATCAAAGTTCGAGCATATTGTTACTGTCATTGAAGAAACCAAAGATCTGGCAAATCTACCAATGAGCGAGTTGATGGGCTCACTTGTAGCACACGAGCAAAGAATGAGCCGCTTCACCAAACCGCCATTGGAGCAAGCTTTCTCGTCAAAAGTCAACATGGCGGAAAGTAAATATGCCAAATCGGAGCAAGGCCAGAGAGGGGGGAAATCACAAGGGAGAGGAAGAGGAAGATCCAATTACAGAGGAAACAACAGACAAAATTATCAACAACAAAGATCGGGCTACACCGGCTCGAGTTGCATAATTTGCAAAAAGGTGGGTCATGCAACAAAAGACTGCAGATTCAAGTGCACCAAGTGCAAAATTCAAAACCACTCCCAGAGAGATTGCTGGTTCCAGAACAAGCAAGAAGATGGTGAGTTAAGCGGCACCAAAAATGAAGAAAGCAATATGGTGGCCTTGTCATGCTTGAATGGTGAGCAAAAATCACAACTTCCCTGGATGGTGGATAGTGGTTGCAGTAACCACATGACTGGAGATCTGGAATCCTTCACCGACATCGATGACAAATACCGCTCTCAAGTCAAATTGGGCAACGGGAAGAAGCTAAAAGTGGAAGGAAAAGGCACAGTTGTTGTATGCACAGAAGAAGGCAACAAAACTCTCATTCGAGATGTTTTGTATGTTCCGGAGCTAACTCTCAATCTACTTAGCGTGGGACAACTGATGCTGAAAAATTACAAGCTATTGTTTGATAATGGCGTGTGCGAGATTATCAACAAAGCTGACAATTTCATGGTGGCCAAAGTCCCGATGAATTCCAACAAAATTTTCTCTCTTGCTATGTCACAAAATGGTGAAGTAGCATTCAAGAGTGAAAATCTGGATCAATCATTTCTATGGCATCTCAGATACGGTCATCTCAACTTCAAAGGCCTCAAATTGCTGAAGCAGAAAAATATGGTGGTGGGACTTCCCCAGATCAACAGAGAAGACAAGATCTGTGAAGGATGCATATATGGCAAAATGCATCGTTTACCATTTCCAAAGACATCTGGGAGAGCAAAAGCGCCACTGGAGTTGGTACATGCAGACATATGCGGTCCAACCCGAACACAATCACTCAGCGGCAAAAGATACTTTCTACTATTTGTAGATGACTTCACCAGAATGATGTGGGTATTCTTTCTGGAGCAAAAGTCAGAAGCTTTTCCCAAGTTCCTTCAATTCCAAGTAGTAGCTGAGAAGGAAAGCGGCCATCAAATCAAAACCCTTCGAACAGATCGTGGAGGAGAATTTATTTATACTCCGTTCATGGAGTATTGCCGCAACAACGGAATCAAAAGGCAGTTGACAGTCCGTTACACACCACAACAAAATGGCGTGGCAGAGCGGAAAAACCGCACAATTGTGGAGATGGCGAGAAGTATGCTCAAAGCAAAGAAGCTTCCCAACAAATTGTGGGCAGAAGCAGTCAACACGACAATTTACATCCTCAATAGATCACCAACCAAAGCAGTACGGAACAAGACACCGATACATGCGTGGCACCACCGGAGGCCATAGGTGGATCACCTCAAAGTCTTTGGGTGCATAGCTTATGCACATATTTTTACCCCACACCGAGACAAGTTTGACCAGAAGGGAGAGAAGCTTATCTTCACTGGCTACAGTGATGAGTCCAATGGCTATCGTCTTTACAATCCAGTAAAGAATGAAGTGGTGGTTTCCCGAGATGAGATCTTTGATGAGATGGCGGAGTGGAATTGAGAAAATCCAATTTCTCAATATCCACCAAGTTATGAAATTCTGGAGGACTCAGCAACTCCAGAAGACCCCAGTAACGACCCAGATCCAGTTGCTAGTCCAGAAAGAAATTCTGCACCTAGCCCAGAAGGAGACAACTTCAGAGACGTCGTAACAGACTCAGATTCACCTCCATTGAGAACAAGGTCTTTGCGAGAAATTTATGAAACAAGTCATGTGGCATATTTTTCTTGTGAGCCTCAAGTCTTTGAAAGATGAAGTTTGGAATGAGGCGATGGATGCAGAAATTTCCATGATCGAGAAAAACAAGACATGGGAGCTTGTTGATCAACCGGAGGACAAGCCGGTTATAGGTCTCAAATGGATCTATAAGATCAAATTCAATGAAGATGGTACTATCCAGAAGTACAAAGCTCGACTGGTGGCAAAGGGTTATTCACAACAACCCGGTATTGATTTTCACGAGACATATGCACCAGTAGCGAGGATGGAGACCATCAGAACAGTTCTCGCTCTAGCTGCTCAACTTGAGTTACCAGTATACCAGCTGGATGTCAAATCAGCATTTCTGAACGGAGACCTGGAAGAAGAAGTCTATGTGGAGCAACCACGAGGCTATGAGAAAAAAGGAGAAGAAGACAAAGTCTATCGTCTCCGAAAGGCTTTATATGGGCTGAAGCAAGCACCGAGAGCCTGGAACAGCAGAATCGATCGATATTTTCAGCAAAACAGATTTCAAAGAAGTCCGAGTGAAGCATCTCTCTACATCAAAACGGGAGAAGGAAAAGATTTTCTAATGGTTTGTTTGTATGTTGATGACTTGATTCACACAGGAACAAGTCAGCGGATGATTGAAGAATTCAAAAGTGCCATGATGAAAGAATTCGAGATGACGGACTTGGGACTCATGAAGTATTTTCTTGGGATCCAAGTGAAGCAGTCACCTGGAGAAATATTTATTTCACAGGAGAAGTACACCGAAGATATGCTGAAAAGATTTCAAATGGCAACGTGCAAACCAATCTCAACACCGATGGCGTTAAACGAGAAATTACAATGCAATGATGGAGCTGAAAACGTCGATGGAAAGCTGTACAGAAGTCTTGTCGGGTCACTCATTTACCTGACACATACCAGGCCGGATATATGTCATTCAGTAAGTCTTATATCAAGATTTATGAATGAACCTAGCAAACTTCATTTTGCAGCAGCCAAAAGAATTTTGCGGTATCTTCAAGGTACAAAAAAATTGGGCCTGCGTTCAAGAAAGAAGCAGAAAGCAAGCTGACTGGATATACCGATAGTGACTGGGCAGGATCACTGGATGATCGAAAAAGCACATCGGGGTACATATTCTGTCTGGGTTCAAAACCCATTTCCTGGAGTTCAAAGAAGCAAAAGACTGTGGCATTATCTTCAGCGGAAGCAGAATATATCGCAGCTACAGATGCAGCATGCGAAGCGGTATGGCTAAAAAGATTAATTTCTGATTTGCAGCAAAGTAAAAATGGTCCAACCATTATTCATTATAACAACATGTCAGCCATAGCCATGACAAAAAATCCAGTATTTCACGCAAGATCGAAGCATATCGAGTTTCATCATCATTTCATCCGAGACCTCGTCAACGACGGAATAATCGTAATGAAATTCATCAACACCGATGATCAGCCAGCCGATATCATGACAAAGGCGGTCACTCGTGAGAAGTTCGAGAAGTTCAAGAAGCTTCTCCAGATTGCAAATTAAGAGGGGGTGTTGATTGATAATTTGCAATCAAGTCTCTCTCAAGCACCTCACATGGTATGTCTAAGTTCATTGATGGATCAATTATCAAATGAAGCCTTAAAGGTTGAAATGAAGAGAAGACACAACCACCAAATAATTAAGTTAATTATCAATCAACATTCATAGCAGATGGACAAGATAAGAGACATGGCTAGTGTGCTCAAATGAATGCATGGGCCAAGGTTCATTATTGGTGGTTAATGGTGAGGGTGGTGTGTTTTCTCTGAATGGCAAATGAAAGAAGAAGCCATGTGATGTATTAATATTATGTTTTTCCATTTCCAATTATATATATGTTGTATGGGATGGAAGTTGTCAGGCAATTGGGCAAAAAAGAGTTGTCGTGTATGTGTTCTCTACAATTTGAGAGTTCACAATTATATTCAAAGTATAAGGCTTATGTGAGTGCTTCCTAAATTGAGTGATTAAACACCATATGTTTCCTTTGTATTGATCTTAAATCATACCACATTTCCGCTAATCCCCAACAGAGCCGTCGAGTAAGCGGAATCCAAATCTGAATATGGAGGTTGAGAACGAGAAGAGATCGAATATAGAGAAAGAAGGAGAAGAGGCCATAGATGGCTCGAGGTGGTGGTCGGGGAGCGACGTCGAGATGCAGGAGATGCACCAATGTAGGAGAAGCACCGATGCTGGGGCCAGGTATCGAACGTCGGTGGAAGGAGGAGGCGATTTGGGAGGAGAGATGGGATAAGAGTGAGTGGCTATTGTTGGCTGCTACCTCGTTGGAATCAATGAAAAGGAAGGACGAGTTGAACCTTTAGAGTTAGAACTTTCAACCTCCCAAATGTCGTCGTTGCCATGATAGCCGGTAGCCGGAAAAGTCCAGTCAGATCCCGGTTCTGACCGATTTTGCCCGGCTTTGACCATTTGCCGGCTAGCTAAAAATATGTCCGACTCTGGCCCCTTTTGTGCCCGATTACGGCCCAAACCAGTTTGACCGGCTAGTTAGACCCCGATTTGACAACCTTGATTTATACTTAGCCATACCAAGGCATTGCACTCGTCGAGCCCAGTTGTTATCTCCACCAACATTTGCCTCCTCTCCTTTGTGAACGATCCAAGAGTTGCATTAGAGCTAAAATGATATCGGTCAGCAAAAGAAATCAAAGAACTACAACAGGAAAATAGAAGACAGTGATCAGTAATCCTATCAATTTCAAGTGGGCATGTGGCGATGGACCTCCTTCGGGGAGAACGGAAGCGGAAGTGCACTTGAGAGAGAGATTGGCGGAGAGCTTGCAATACTAGAGCTTGTATCCTTCGAATACATCGCTCATGGTGATGGTTGAAGTGGCAAGGGAGTAAAGGAGGAGAGAGACGTTATGTTCAGATTGCCGTCGAGAGCGGATGGGAGATGGGAGTGCGACAGATGAAAGCAAGAAGACGATTGAAATTTACTGAAGAAGTTGAGATGGAATCGGCGACAACGTAAACTTTGGATAGCTTTGCCGTCAAGAGTCAGACGTTAGAGGTTCAGATTGGTTAGTTACCTTTTACAAGTTTTCCCCTCAATCTACATTTCTTTTATTTGGAATTTAATTCTTTTACGAGAAAAATAAATTAACCTTGAACTTCAAAATAACATCCCTTTTATACATATTTTTAAGAACTAGTACAGATCATTTCGATACTTATGTATAAATGTATCTAATTTTGCACGGTTGTTAAAGCCGATCCGAGCCGGTCGGACCGGTAAAATCGGCACCCGGATGTCAAACCGGTTCAGAACCCTCAAATAGCCGTAACGGCCAGAAAGGTCAGTTTTTTAGCGGCAAAAATGGTTAACCATTCAGACCGCTCGAACCGTCCGACTGGTTTTATGTTTATGACCGTTTGGAAATAAATAAATAATTCAACAAAAATTTTTTAGGTTCAATCTCGTCGAGTGAGGGCGATTTCCAGGCGTCGCACCCACTGTCAGTAGCAAACTCATTGTATTTTGGACTTTCACCATCACCAGAACTCCTCCTCTCATCCAACTTTTTCTCCGACAATCGAAGCGTGGCGACCCTCCCGACGGCGGCGGCTGTCGCAAGCAAAGAAGAGGCGCCGCCAACTGTCCTCCATCCCCGTCCCTTCATCGCAGTCGTTGTAGGGGTGAGAATCAAAGAAAGGCAGATCTAGTGTTTGGGTCTTTGGGAAATAAGAGAGAGCAGAGCGGCTCAGCCGCTGGGTGGGTGGGGGTTAGGGTTTGTTAGCTTATTTAGTTTTTATATATATATATAAATGGTAAAATTACTAAGCGGTACTTGAAAAGTAAATTTTTTTTGTAGTCATTAAATTATTAATTGTTACCTTATGTGTCTTCTATTAATGATATTATTATTTATATAAGGTACCAGTTCTCTAAAAGTTTTTTAACGGTTAAATACCGGTTAGACCACTAAAGTGTGAGCCGTTCACGTTATAGGGACATACTCCGGCTCGATTCTGACAACATTGTAATTTTGAGATATGTGAAATGTATAGTTTATTTTTGTCTGTAATGTTGATGTTTGTAATGATTATTTTTCTTGGGAAATAGACATAAATAAATTCAAAAGAAACACAAAACATCATAAATTACAAAGTAAATATTATATATAAATACTCAGTCTCCAATTCAATTAGCAAATAAAGAAGGTAAATTGCAAGTTTGTTCACTAGGATTATTAAAACATTTCATGTTTGCTACTAAAATTAATTTATTTTATCTGTAGTTACTCAATTAGTTCAACAGTTCAAATTTGGTCACTCTCCGTTAGTCGCCGTTAACTTTATCTAACGTGCCAGTCAACTCTGAGAATTTACCGGGGCTGGGCATGCGGGCAGATTACCCGCTAGTTTGGGTCAACCCATCCGCATTTGACCCGAATTTCGTTATGTGGGTGGGTCTGTGGGTAGGTGACAGGTTGCACTGGGAGCCATCCGTCGGGTGGTGGGTGGGTTGTGGGCGGGTGCGCGGGTGACCCACTCAATCCAACAACAAAAAGAACAAAATTGTTGGCGCTGAAGAGGGGAGAGTGGAGACGTTAGGCAGAAACTAGGGTTGCTCCTAGAGATTGAACCTCAAAGCTAACCTTCCAAATATTGATCCCCTATTCTTCCTTTTTTTCCCTCTCATTCTTCTGCCTAGTTCATCTCTATTTCGTTCGTTGAATTATTTCT